CTGTGTCAAAGGCTTTACTGAAGTCAAGGTGAACTTAACTTTATATTTTGCCTAAAAAAGCTTCCTTAATCTATCCTCGTTTTTGTGTTTGTCGAGCTCTGAGCAATGCCAGCCCATTTGTGATACGCTGAGGAATAAAATTTATTGGCCATTTCTTTCCACTTGTGTCTTGGCCAATGTAAAGTCACATGAGAAATGGTTGCTCTGCTCCTTAAGCACATTTGGTGATATTTTTGTCCTACATCTTTTAAAGCATTTTCTTGCCGTTCTCCTTAAAATTGTAATTCTTCAGCTCTTGTTTCCACCTGGATCATTAAATATATCCACGTGTTCAAGTGGTTACAAGCACCACGGCTGGAGCAGGGTAACTGCAGGAGCTGTAGGTTCATATGGACAATTAGGATGGACTCTTTACATAAAGTGAAGTTTAATTAAGTGTGCTTGAGGAAATGAGCGTACCTAGAATAACTGTGTGGCTTCTGAAATACAAATTTGAATTCAGGAGCACAGATCAGTGGATTTTGTCTGATAGGTGGCTACCAAGTCTGGGCCTTCTCAGTAAGGCATCATTAAATTCTCACTAAAAATGTTGGTGTGCTTGAAAAAGACACTCGAAAAGTGAGTTTTGTGTACTGATGAAATGGTGTGGCTGTCCCAGGGGAAGTCTTCAAGAGTTTTGGTTTGGTGGTGATGGTTTTCTTTTGTATAGCATCTTTTTAGAGAAAGAAGCCCTTCCAAAATCTGAACAGTGTCACAGCCTGAAAAATGCCTTATCTCAGAGTAAGGGGGAATGGGCAGCTTTAACTATTCCCGTGCTGTTCAAATAGGAACAGTTTTCACTTTCAATGTGATTTTTTTTGGTCGTGTTTCAGATGGTCCAGCTGAGGCTTCGGTTGCAAACGGGGGCACTGCTGCCGTCACAGCGCTGAGCGATGACCTCGATATCTTCGGTCCGATGATCTCCAACCCTTTACCAGCAGCGGCCGTACCTCCTGCGCAGGTAACATTCACTTAGTCCTATGTGTGTGGAAATAGGCACATCCACGTGCGTGTTTTCTTTCAAGGAGTTGTTCATTCAGATTGGATTGTGTCTTACCCTAGTGATGGTGCTCATCTTTTCTTTTAATTTATATACTTCTGTTCTTTTTTTTAATGGGTATCGTTGAATATATTTATTACTTTATGTCTTCTGGTTATTGGCCTTTAAGTCTTCCTTTTTGAGGTCTTCTTCTTGCTTTGTGGTGCTGATATCACAAAGAATACAGCAGATGGATGCTCCTGTCTTAGAGCTGCAAAAAATACGGGGTCTCAAGCTTTGTACTCAAAATTAGGAATGGCTATCAAGAAAAACCATTATTGCTTCCTGGGCTGATCGGTCTTCTTTTCTCTCATCTTGGAACTTGTATGTCTGTCTTTCCTCAAGGAAGGGTGGCGTAACCCCTGCACCGTGTCCACTCCCCTCTCTTATATCCAGGATATTTGGAAGGATTTGCCATCCCCGTTGTAGCTGAGAAAGAATCGCAGAGTCACAGAATGTGTTGGGTTGGAAGGGACCTTTAAAGCTGATCCAGTCCAACCCTGCAGTGAGCAGGGACATTGGTACCAGATCAGGTTGCTCACAGCCCCATCAAGCCTGGCCTTGAATATCTCCAGGGATGGGGCCTGCACCACCTCTCTGGGCAACCTGTGCCAGTGATCTACCACCCTCATGGGGAAGAATTTATTTCTCATATCCAGACTAAATCTGCCCCTTTCTAGTTTAAAACCATTACCCCTCGTCCTATCACTACATGCCCTAGTGAACAGCTCTTCCCCAGATTTCTTAGAGGCACCTTTCAGGAACTGGAAGGCCTCAATAAGGTCCCCCCAGAGCCTTCTCTTCTCCAGGCTGAACAGCCCCAACTCTCTCAGTTGGTCTTCGTGGGAGAGCTGCTCCAGCCCCTGAGCATCTTTGTGGCCTCCTCTGGCCCCGCTCCAGCACTTCAATGTCCTTTTTGTGTTGGGGACTCCAAAGCTGGACACAGCACTGCAGGTGGGGTCTGAGCAGAGCAGAGCAGAGGGACACAATCCCCTCCCTGGCCCTGCTGGCCACACTTCTTGTGATGCAGCCCAGGATGGGGTTGGTTTCTGGGCTGCAGATGCACATTGGTGGCTCATGTCCAGCTTCTCATCCACCAGTGCCCCAAGTCCTTTTCCTCAGGGCTGCTTTCCAGCACGTCATCTCCCAGCCTGTATTGGTAACAGGCATTGTCCTGACCCAGGTGCAGGACCCTGCCCTTGGCCTTGTTGAACATCATGAGGTTCACCTGGGCCCACTTCTCCAGCCTGTCCAGGTCCCTCTGGATGCCATCCCCTCCCTACAAAGGCAGCTTTGGGACACACAAAGAAAATACTTAAAGCTGCAGCTCCTCAGAGTAGTTTTCAGCCTGAAAGAACGAGGGGTTGGTGCTGAGCATGGTGTACATGTGCAGGCCCCCTTACCCAGACCGGCTTCGGAGAAGGGAGGTTTCAGAGGAGCACTGGGGCAACCTCCCCATCTGCAGGGCCCTTTTAAGGTAATTTAGAGGCCTGTTGTTGCAGAAGGTTTCTGTCTCACTCAGCTGAAGCAGGAAGGACTGTGTGTATTCTTGAATTTATGGTTTGAGACTTCAGATCCAGTAATTTTCATCATACATAAATGGAAGGGATGATGATGGAAGGTAATTCAGATTGGACTGGCATATCGTAATTCTGTTTCCAAATGTTGATCATAGTGGTCACCTCAATGCGTATCCGTGCTGTTCAGAAGATTTTATTGTCATTTCTATTCTCCATCCTTCACTCTCCCTTCCCCGACTTGTTGCTGAGGGCTGATTTTGTGCAACGTGCCAGGCAGGGTTTTAGAGACTGAAACCTCATTTATTTTTAAATGTAAAACTACAGATAGAGCAAGCTTCCCACCATGCCTTAAGCCACCTGTAAATGGGAAGGGAAATGAGCTGTATCCATGCATTTAGGTTTGAACGCCTTAGCTAAAATTGCAAAGGAAAGTGGTGGTATAGATTTTCATGGCCCTCGTGGAAATTCCTGCTCAAAGTACCAGAAAGAGCAATATCTGAGTGCTCGTTGTCTGCTGTTGTACGGCCGCGTGTCAAAACTCATCTGGGTGACCCTGCTTGGAGAGCCGGATGGGAAAAGCAGTGGCTCATTTCCAGCTGCACTGAGTTTTTCAGTGTATCCAAGGTAGAGACTGAGCAGATTCAGTTCTAGAAGCTTCCACCTGGCCCCAAGAGCAACGCGCCATGGATAGGGGTGAATTCTGGTTTTTCTCCTTTCTGAAGCTGGAAGTGACTTGTTCTGTATGTAGTTACTGTCTGCTCAGGAGGAAAGGTACTTGGGTGCTATTAATGTTGATTAAATCAGTTTTTCAACCTTCTCTTGTTTCTGTGCCATGAACATTTTACCTTTTGTTGTGCTAGTTTCTAGATCAAGTATGGCACTTACTAAATTGATTAAAAACTAGTAAAAATGATAGCATTATCCTCAATATCTCGTAATATCACCTTGTTTGTATGCTAGAAACCATGACTATGTTCACATGCTGTTAGCAAACCAGATTTTTAATATCAGTTTGCTTTTTCCCATGTGCCATAATCAGGAGCAGCAAATGCAACTTTGATCCAACGCATAATCCTTATGGCATCTTGCAGGATTTGATTCTTGGTTATCTTCTGTTTTTAATCAGTAATCTCAAATCAAATGTAACATAATCAGGTCCATTTCCCCAGATAAGAGGCAGGGAGATGGGTAGGTAGCAGAAGATGGTGCTGATTTAATGGGTTCCTTGGTAAACTGAGGGACAGGGATGAGTTTGAATTATCTGTGAACACAGAATCACAGAATATGAGGAGTTGGCAGGGCCCTCTGGAGATCCCCCAGTCCAACCCCTGCCAGAGCAGGATCACCCAGAGGAGGTCACACAGGAACACGGCCAGGGGTTTTGAATGTCTCCACAGAAGGAGACTCCACAACCTCTCTGGGCAGCCTGGGCCATGCTCTGGCACCCTCACAGGAAAGAAGTTTGTCCTCGTGTTCAGGTTGAACCTCCTATGCTCCAGCTTGCTCCCATTGCCCCTTGTCCTGGCATTGGACATCCCAGAGCAGAGCCTGGCTCCTTCCTCCTGACACTCGTCCTTTACAAATTGATCCCCAGGAATGAGGGCACCCCTCAGTCTCCTCTGCTCCAAGCTCAAGAGCCCCAGCTCCCTCAGCTGCTCCTCATCAGGAGATGCTCCACTCCCTCCATCATCTTTGTGGCCCTGCCTGACTCTTTCAAGCAGTTCCTGTCCTTCTTGAGCTGAGGGCCCAGAACTGAACACAATATTGCAGATGTGGTCTGACCAGGGCAGAGCAGAGGGGCAGGAGAACCTCTCTGCCCTACAACCACCCCTTCTCATCCACCCCAGGATGCCATTGGCCTTCTTGGCTCAAGGGCACATTGCTGGCTCATGGTCATCCTGCTGGCCACCAGCACCCCAGGTCCTTCTCTGCCTGGCAGCTCCAGCCACTCCTCCCCAAGCCTGCAGCGCTGCAGAATGCATTGAAATTAAGAATGAAGTAGAAGAAGGGATCAAATGTGGAGTAGTGTGACTTGTTTTCTCCTTCAGAGATATTTACCATGATGTTCTGCACAGGAGGTGTGTCTGAGATACCACGGTGGGACCATCAGAAGAGAAGGGAATTTAATGGTGCTCCTCAAACCGATTTGTAGAAGGAATATCTGAGGGTTGATTTTTTGCAGGATTGCTTTGCCAGTTTAACCTGAAAGTGAGCATTTAGGACTAAGTGCACGTTTTCATGGCACTGTGGAGCACAAAAATGTCCTTCTCAATGTTTTATTTTGGGACTGAAGCAACACGATGTCTGCACACCTCAGGATTTACGACCATTGACATGGCCAAGATGCGATTTCCAAATGAAAACAGCAGCTTTTCCTAATGTGACTTGAGCGTTATGCAGTATTCATGAACAGAAGGAAAGGAAGAAAAAAGAGCATTTTATATGTTTAGTGATGCTTTTTCATGTGAATTATACCTTACAGCTACTAGAGACAAGGTTTTGTTCCTAACATTGTATAGGAACTGAACAAAGTCTGTCACTCTTAGCTATAGTTCAAACACTTTCCTAAATTAAAACAATTTTAATTAAAATTAAAACTATTTCCTAATATTTTAGCCAGATTTCCATTTCAGACCTTGTAGGGGGATGTTTTCCAGCACAAGTGTGGTCTTCATTCTTCAGTGAAACTTGTGGGGAGAGCTGCGAGGTATTAAGTCAGGCAGTATTAATTCACAGAAACATTTAACGTGCGTCTTTCTCCGAGCAGGACACTGAAATCCAGTGAGCTTACACTGGTTTTTGGATTTGTGTGTGTGTGTGTGCACATGGTTTGCATTGTATCGGGAGCTGAGAATTAGGTCAGTGGCTACAAAAATGTTCTTTTGTAGAGATGGTGAGCGTTCCTCGTGTCTGTAAATTTGTATTTTTTAGATAACTGGATGGTGTCTTAATGCTCATTTATTTGGCATGGTTGCCATAAATCAGCAGACAACAAATAAAGTGTCAAAGTCCTCTGTTTTTATGGAAAAAAAGAGTTATTCCAGGCGTTTGCTTTACCATGAACGTCATTGAAGCAGGGTCTTACCCCAGAGCTCTTCAGACCTGATCTCAGTCAGGCAGTGGATGCCAGGAGGTCTGCAGGGATGAAGAAGGAGCCCCTGCTAAACCCCAGCTCAAACTGGAAGCGTGCAGAAGGTGGAAGCAGGGAGAGGTGACCTGGGGACATCCAGGGACACTGTCTGAACATGCAGGGATGGGGTCAGGAAAGCCAAAGCCCAACTGGAGTGAGATGTCCAAGGCAAGAGAAGGGTTTGTGTGCACAGGTGACACATGGAAGACAAGGGACAGTGTGGGCTGCTGAAAGGGACAGTGGTCCTGGTGACAACAGGACGTGGAAATGTAGAAGTACCCAGTGCCTTCTTGGCCTCAGCCTTTGCTGCAAGACTTGGGGAGTCCCAGTCCCAGAGACCGGGAGGAACGGCTGGTGCGAGGAGGACGCGCCCTTGGCACACAAGGATCAGGTCAGGGAACACTGAAGGCAAACTGGATATGGATTGTGGCCCTGGTGGGTGATGGCTTCATGAGGCCGCTCTTTTGGCTGACTGTGGTGACTGGGAGAGGTGCCTGAGGACTGGAGGAAAGCAAATGTCACTCTTGTCTTCAAGAAGGAGCACCCAAGGGACGATGTGAGAGTCAGCCCCACCGGGACCCCTGGGTACTGTGTCCTGGGCTCCCCACGTACATGGACATCCTGGAGAGTGCAGCCAAGGGCCACTGAGACAGCTGAGGGCCTGGAGCATCTCCGCAGTGAGGAGAGGCTGGGACCTGGCACTGCGCAGCCTGGAGGCTCAGGGGGACCTCACCAGTGTCAGCACGCGGACAGAGGGCGCGTAGGTGACAGAGCAGCTTAAAATACTGAGGATGTCATGGTCTTTAGGTGCTGTTTTGCAGCCTTTTGGGAATTAAAAGCCAGAATGAGAATGCGTATGTTTAGTCTCATGCATTCATCTAAACTTCTTGTCAGCCCCGTGCTATTTGTGCAGTCGGATGGGAAGTGCAGAGTGATGGATTCAGCTCCCAAATCTGTGGTCCTGACACGTCTGACCAATATTTCAGTGCAGACTTCCTTCGGAGAGGTATCACCTTGTACAGGTAAATTCATAGGCTATCGATGGCAGAAATGATACATATTTAAACACGGAGCATATTGGAGATGACTTCCGTCAGCAGAATATCCCTTAACCACCCGATGAGAGGTTTTTGGGTATCATGACTGTCTGAGAGCATCATTTCTTAAGGGCAAACTATTCTGTGTGTGCCAGGCGTGGTTTTCCGGAGGCCTTGGGCAGCACGAGAATGTTAAATACATGAAGATCATGTCAGTGGGTCTTGCTGGTTGTGTTTTTCCCTCGAATACCGCCTGCTGTTGCCTTGCATTTATTTTGCATTACCTCTCATTTATTTAGCTGGAGCACTTTGGGGAGTGCTTGTTCAGTGCTTTGGCTCCTGTCGGAGTTTTCCAAAAACAAACCGGATGAGATGTTAAATGAACGTTTAATCTCATGACAGGGACATAATACCTGAGCCGTCCTCCAGGATTTCATAGATCTGGGACCGAAGTGTGGTTACACCAAATAAATACTGCATTTAGGATGGGCTTTTCCAACTCCTGCTCTTTTTCTGTCTGCCATCCCCCACCTTTTGCTCCTTACTCAGGTCCAGTGACCTCGGCCCACATCAGCTGTTGTAGAAACGCAGGGTTTGTTACCATTTTTGGTTTTTTCTCTTTCCGCAGCGGTTTTGGAGGTTTTTCACCATCAACCGTGTGAATCCAGACCCCTTTCTCCTGATGGTTCCTGGCCAATTTAGCTGCACCAGGATTGTTCTGTAGTAATTCTTTCC